CAACTTCAATCATTCCCACGCGCCATGGGAAATCTTCTCCTCTCTCTTCCCTTGGTGTTGTGAGATCAAACACTTCAAGGGATGCTGCCTCTGGCGGAGTTTGCAGCCTCACCATCTTGACTGAAGCCGTAGTTGTTGTAGCTCCAGTGTTGCTCGCATTGTAGCCTATCGATGACGAGCTCGCTCCTCCTGCATTCTGCTGCTCTTCCACTTGATTCACTCTCTTCCAACATTCTCGGGCGAAGTGTCCTGTCTTTCCGCATAGATGACAAGCTCCACTCTTTGTTCCCTTGCCACCTTTGTCTGATGCTTTGCCCTTCTTCGCAAAGCCCTTCTCCCAGAAACTCTTCCCTTTGTCTCCTTTTCCTGAACCTTTGCCTTCTTTGCTGCCATACTTCCCTTTATCCTTTCCTTTGTCTTTTCCTTTGACCTCTTTTCCTTTCCCCTTGTGGCCTTTCTTCCCTTTGCCAACTTTGCCCACATAGTCGACCTCCATTGGCGTTGCCTCATCACCAGTTGCTCTAGTGGGGAACAGCAAGGAGTTCGTTGAGTCCCATTTTGTCGTCACCGCCTCAAGCTGGATGATCCTGTCTTTGAGTTGCTCATACGTGGTTGCATCCGTGATCCATAGATGCAAATGCTGGCGGATCTGCAAAGGGCAGGCCAACAGAATTGAAGCCACCTTGGCATCATCTGAGTACCTCTGAGATGATATCCTCTCGTACTCCATGACCAACGCCTCGAACTGCGGCAGCTGTTCGGACACTGTCTTTCCCTCAGCGAACTGAATTCGTGAGAGCTGGCTCAAAAGTGCTAGAGCCCTTGCTCTCGTTGCAGGCTGCATCTCCTTCAGCAGACATTGCCATGCCTCGAAGCCATTCTCGTTCTTCACATGGCGGATCAGTTTCAGCGGGCGCTGTCTCACATACGAAGTCAATAGGCTGTAAAGCCTCACGGCCCTCGACTTCGTCTCATCTGTCATGTCTTCGAACTTGTAGCTGCCATCCATGTTGTTCTCAACCATGTCCATGCTGGCTGCCATAGACGGGTCAAGTCCCTTCACGTAGTTGAGGAAACCAAACTTCCAGTCTCCCCACAGCCTCAACTCAGCCTCTCTTCCTTCTGGCTTGAAGACGTCCGGGGCCTTCAAGTGTCTGGCCCATCCTTGGGCATTTTGAGTTCTGGCCAACCTCTCTAGGGCTGCTGCCACTTGCCTCAGGCTCTCCTCAGCCATTGACTTCCACCCGAAGATCCTGGGGATGAAAGTTCTTGTCTCCACTGGTGCAAGGGATGTCGGTGTCCCAAACTCCAGGCCGGCGTACTTCGGGATGTCCCAGAATTGCCAGTTGTACACTAGCTCACTGGTCTCCTCTTCACCTGCTGCGTCTCGTAGGGCTTCGATGCGCTCCACGAACCTCCACTTGGCCGGTACCACCACGACCACTTCCTTCAGTTCTTCTTGGTCCTCCTTCTGTGCCACCACTATGGATGCACGCGCAATCCTCTCGCTCTTTATCCACTTGATCTTGCTGATGTGCCCTTCGGTCTCTAGCACCAGCGTGTGGATCCTCCTCACACGGCTCTTGCAGGTCAGGGGCAACACCGAGTTGGACTGGTAGTATTGAACTTCCTGTGCCGTCGAGGTGCCAATGCCTCCAGCTAGACCTGCTAGGATCAAAAGCTCGAGGATCCAGATCGAAGCGAAAGATGGACCTTCCCTGGATCGAGTTGTCCTCCTTCTCCTCAATGGGGATGTCGTGGAGCTCAAGCTCTTCGTCGTGCTCGTAGTGACCGTGGGTGGCGGAGCCCCGGCTCTTACGGCCAGGGCTCCGCTACCATGAAACGCGCAAACGACCTTTCTGCTCGAACGGGCTTTGGGCCTAAATGCCCATCGTGCGGAGTAAAGTGCAACCCCATGTTCGAATGACTGCTTACTCATGACTTTCTGACAGCATATATATTATACTGTAGCTGCATTGATAGAAACATATAGAAACCAACATGCTACCCTCTTTGGGTTTTGTTCAGGTGGCCAGCTTCACAGCTGTTTTTTGACATCTGGAAAAGGCCTCACATCATGGGCTGAACACGACTCACAGCCTTTTCGCTGTTTCACACGGCGGGTTGCATCAATCAAGGGGGCTTCTCACCGCAGCCTTCTCGGCATGTCAGGTCCACATGTGCCGGCAGAGCCTTCGAGAAGGTCGCTCCATTCTGGAGAGTCAGATCCATCTTGATCTATACAGACATGTACAGGCAAGGACCCACGTCAGGTCTGAAGGTCTCAGAATCCAAGTCCCGGCCGCTTCGTCATGGCCGGTTCGTCATGTTCGTCTCTTGGCTGTTCCACCGGTGAACATGGTCGTCATGGACATGTTGAAAAGCTTATCTCATGATGCCTTAGTCCACATGAAACCACAGGCCCTGGAGAGAATTCAAGAGAAAAAAACGCTGGCAATGGCTGGCATCAAGATGCTGGTTGTGGCAAGCAATCTAAACAATTATAAGTTGGGGCTCACCCTGAACAATGAACAAAGAATGCCCCTTGTAGCAACAAACATCCAAAGAACATTCGGAGGAGACGACTTTGAACGAGCAGTATATAACTAGCACACTCCCTTAATGAGAAAAACATGTGGAGAACTCCGCTTGACAATTTGCGCTTACTGTATCATTGCTAAAAACACTGCATATGTGGAAATACACGTCACAATGTCACAATTCGTAGTAGAATCTGTGTCAACTGTACGACATTTGAATAGTTTCAACTGATTCCCAAATTAATTGTGCGTTGGAACTGAAGCAAAAAAACAACAAAAAAGTAGATGAAAGTAGTAGAAGGAAGGCACTTTTTTCAAGCCAATGTTCAGCCACTTGGTTTAAGGAAGCGATTTCGATCCAGCTGTAAAAGCCAAGTCTAACTCCAAGTCTACTACTCCAACCCTAAGCAGTGTGTGTGTTGGGACTCACTTGCGATCTCCGTCTTTTCAGAGAAAACATGTTCAGCTCTTCCTCGTTTCTGGTCGAGACGAACCCATTTCAATTGCCCAGCGACATCCTTCCCAACGGCCAGCTCGATGGCTCGAGCCGCTTCTGCGAGGCCTTTCTCCTCGCAGATCTGCTGTGGAGTCATGCCATGAAAGCTCCTGGGCTCGGAGCGAAACCTAATAACAGGGACGCTATTAAGTTGGAGGCCATCGCTATTAGCTTAAAGGCCATCGCTAGTAGCTTGGAGGCCATCGCTAAGAGGTGGAGGCCATCGCTGTTAGCTTTGAGGCCATCGCTATTTAATAGCTTGGAGGCCAACGCTCGTAGCTTGGAGGCCATCGCTACTAGCTTGGAGGCCATCGCTAGTAGCTTGGAGGCCATCGCTAAGAGGTGGAGGGCATCGCTGTTAGCTTTGAGGCCATCGCTATTTTAGCTTGGAGGCCATCGCTATTTAATAGCTTGGAGGCCAACGCTAGTAGCTTGGAGGCCATCGC